AAACGATGTTGACCATCTTTATATGAGGACACAAGTTCTGCTCTTTGACCCTGCTCGGATTGAAATGCGCCTTTGTTTATCTCCTATTCAATTTTTGTCTCTATTCGTTTGTTTCGAAGCACCTTCACACCAAAGGCCGGAAGGATGACCTGTTCAGTGACCCGTGCTACCAGCAGTTCGGCCAGGAGCTGAACAAAGTCCTCAAAGACTGGCAGCCCAGCGTGCTTCCCGATGGTGAGTGCACCCTGTGCCCCTGAAAATACCATCTCCCGCCAAAAGCTGCAGCAGAAACCACAACACACCACAGTTTGACCTCAGCGTGGAAAATTAGAGCTAATTGTAAAGATGCGACGCGTGGAAAGAACATCACCCGTCACTGATAGGAGTGACTCCGTGAAGTGGCGGGGGACAGATACCGGGGTGTGTTTGAAGGTGTGCCTGTCAGCACCAGCCTGGTGGCATGCGGCTGTCCCGTCCTGTGATTATAACACTTCTGCTGTTCACATCCTGACACTCTGTGATTGCACCAATACTGTTGTATGAGGACGAGCTCTGCCCATCCAGTTTAAATTAGCATTAGCATCTGCTAACCCACAGGTCTGTGTCCTAACCATTAAGTAGTTATCAGAGTAAATCCCTGTTCAACATGAGTCTGACAACTAAGTAAGTAGATAAATAACTTTAAACTTTAACACATGCTCTGATCGGTATCTGATCATCAATTTGAAGCTATCGGTAAAAATGTCAGTTGTGTGAGATTATTTGGTCCCATTTTGTGTTTCTCCCTGAATAAGCAGGTCGGTGTCCTTGTGTATTATTCAAACTCACCTAATTTAGATGTCTGGAGATAGTTATCAGAGTAAATCCCTGTTCAACATGAGTCTGACAACTAAGTAAGTAGAATAAATAACTTTAAACTTTAACACAAGCTATGATTGGCTGGGATTGGATCGGAAGTGAAAAAAGCTGGATCGGGACATCCCTCCTTAAGCCTGACTGAGTTTTCCCGCCTCTGGTTTTGGGCGGTAAGAAGGTGGATTTAGAGTCAAAATCCTTTTCTGTTCACATCCTGAAACACACTGTTGACTCCTAAAAATGAGGACTTCAAATGAACGTTTAACCTCACCCTTGCCCCCCCCCCCTGTCTCAGGCTCCCCGTGGGGGCGGG